GCACTTGAATCCTTAACTCAGGATCTGATTTCAGCAGAACACAAACTCAGAAAAGTTTCCTAAAGCATAGACTGAAAAGATACTCATGTAGAGGGAATATTTATGTTCTATAGTTAACAGGATTTATTGTAGGAAAGGCAGGAGGATGGGGACAAATGGGTTTAGGAATATTTGTGGACATCAACTACCTGCGTTTTCTCTACAAAGCCAATCATTATTACTGAAAATAGATTATCTTGTGTCCATATTACTCAGACTAAAACTCAGGAAGAAAAAGAACCTTACTGAAAGTCAATAAAGACTAGGAATTTTGTTCTTCAGATTAATATCATTTTCTATCAGAGTTGCTTATATTCATAACTCATCAACTAATTCAGCAATGAAAAGTATACACGTTCTCTTGTATCTTATGGTATTAGAAAATAACATTAAATTTGCAGTGCCAATTGTTTGGTTAATTAAGAAAATAAAATATTTCTTTTCAGAGAATTAAAAGGTCAAATATTTCTATTATATTTTTCAAAAAGTTCATTCAAGCAGTTTATTTGTACCCTAAGAGGTACAGCATACTATAAAGTGGGAGCTGCTTTTTAAAAATTTCCTCAGGTTTATTAGCTGGTAAAAAAATGCAGGACAAGAGATCAAATGTTTATGTCTGTTTAATCAGAATGGTGGAGGTATATAGTGTGAAATGGAGAAGTATCCTTTCTTAAAAAACAAGAAAATACAAGAGAATAAAGGCTAGAATGTACTCTCTGATAACCTTCATGGCCAAATCATAATCATAGCTAACTGACCCTTTGAAGTCTGAGCAGGTCTTAGGATAGTCTGTGTAATTCCTGGCATGCCATAGTTAAATAAATTATTGGTAAGCATGCTATCCACATTTAAAATCATACCTTCTGCTCCTAGGCCCCATGGAATGGTGGGTAATATTTAAATATTAAGTCTGAAGAAGGAAATAAGAGAAGGGTCAAATAAATAACATAAGAATACAGTGTCATGACTCTCAGTAAGCTTAAGTCTATAAGGCAATTTAACTTAGCTCACTTTCAATTTAACTTACACATGGCAATGACAGATATTTTCTAAGATATTTTAAACATATTTTACTTATTTTTAGAAATTTGGTCAGTTTCCAATTCTCAGTCTTTTCCAAATTCAAAACTACATGATACTGAATACTTTGTCCAAGCTTTAATACAATATAGCTTTGAACTATTTTCATTTTTGTATTATCTTTGTCTCCTGTCTTTTACTGTTTTAGAACAATATAGTAGCAAACTCCAGCCCTTTTCCAATTTTTTATTTAAAAACATCCTTGCATATTTTTGGTACACTTCACAGAACACTTTGATTACACAATGTCTGGCATCAGCTTTTTCTATCTTGACTACCACATCCTTATTCCAAACCCTGATTTTCTTTCATCACAGCTCATTTTTTTGTTGTTGTTTTAAATCCAGTTCCGTGTATAAATCCTCTTTATTCTGGGCATAAAGGCTGTATCATGGTTTCCTATTACATCATAGATCAGATAAAAATTCTGGGCTTTTAAAGGTTCATAGACTTTTACCAGTTATATACTAACTTACCTGCTTTCCCTTTCTTTGAGGTCTCAGCATTTCTTCTTCTCTGACTTGAGGCAAAGTGTTTTTCATACTCCAGATAAACTTTTATTCCCAAACTAAATGTTATTTTTTCCCTTGTTCAGCAGACTATCATCTATCTTTCATCACTTAAAAAGCACCAGAAATCCCAATGCCTCCTAGATGTTCCTTGAAATAAAGGATGCTGTGAGGAGGGTTAGTATTCTTTTTCATTCCCTCCTCAATCAGGAATTAAATTTTATTCTATTCGCTTTGGTGATTGCCTCAGACATGCAGGTATTCTTGGTTAGAATATCATAAATTACAGTGAAGTTCTTTATTATGCTAGCTTTTACTAAAGGCATCTTTCAGGTTGAAGTGCTGTAGTGAAAAGTACAAGGAAGGAGCATCTTTGTTCTAGAAATGTAGTGAATATGTTCATACCTTTTCACATCTTTCAATACATTATCTCATTTGACTCATAAGACCTATGGGAAGCAGAGTTACAGCCCCTGCTTTCAGTGGAAGGAACTGAAGCTTTAGTGTCCTGCAATATTCCAAGAGGATAGACTTTGAAATCAGGAAGACCTGAGTTTGAATTATTGCAACAATGCTTATACCTGTGCGGCTTTGGATTATTCATGTCTCTAAACCTAAACTGCCTCGTAAAATAGGTACAGTAATAACTATATGATACACTGCATGTAAAGAGCATCGCATGTAAAATGATTCCTTGGCACATGGAAAGCACTTAATAACCAGCCAACATGTTAAAGGATCTGCCCAAGACACTTTTAGAACATGCCTGCAAGGAGGTGAAACCAAGATTTCGGGCTCCAGAGCCCATGTGTTTCCATTATCCCTAATTCCTAGCGCGCTGATTAATTAAACAACTAACTTGATAGATGACCTTGAGCAAAATACTTCACTGAATCAGTTTACTCATCTGTATACTGAGTCTTTTCAGACTTTCAATCTATTGCAGCTACGATATTTTTTTTCTGTAGCCTTGTACACTTGATGTTCAGACTCCTTATATATCCAAGATCTGTATAATCATAAGCTGTGCACATTGCAATGAGTTTCATTCCTATATTCATACTTAGTTCAATAATTAGTTTTGTGTACACTCAGCTGTTGCCTGTCTTTAGTCTGCGTACCAGCGCCTCTGAGGGGGAAGACCCATACCTAGCTTTATTTATATCCTGGCTTGCTCCCGAAAGGATTAAAGGCAGCGAGCGACACTAGAAGTTCCCTAACGATGTTACACAGTGCTACCAATAAATACTCTTTTTATGAAATCGCCCCGTAGAAAACCGCCGATGAGTTAAGATGATGGCTCTTACCTAACTCTTAAAAATAAAAACTAATGTACCTAGCTAGAAGTCCTGGAAGCATATAGTTAAGGTTCTTTCTTCAGCCTTGACGCTGTCTCACCCGTTGTCAACGGTCACTCGAATGCCCTTCTCAGACTAGCCAAAATTGTCGCCACTCCAGCACCGGCTTGACCGAGATCCCACCCCGCCCCTTCAGTCCCTCTCATACCCAAGTTTCCTGATTGGGAAGGGGCCTGAAGAGCCTTTCTCACATTCCCATTTTATTGGCTGGCACGGCTGTCAGTAATCTCTGCTTCCCGCCTTCTAGCCTAGCGGGTTTCTTGGACCCCTTGGTTTCTGCGACAAGCCGCTTACGTTTGCCTGAGCCGTGTTGCCGGGGACCGGCGACCTTTCACCCCTCCCTTCCCACAGGAGCGCCCCAGCCCCCGTCCC